GCTTCCCTACCTTTGCAACTGTTGACTAATATTAATTATGTGTATGCTGCTTAATCATCTAGGAGTGACCCTCTAAAGTGGCATTTAAGCAGTTTTGAGACAGCTAGCAAAAGTGAATTATGCAAGAGGACTGTAGCGGAAACACCTAGGCAAGGATGGAAAAGGTTCAGAGAGATGGCAAAGAAAGTCTCAGAGAGTTTGAGTGCTCAGGGCTGAGGGTCTGCGAAAAGCCTTCTCTTGCTTCACTCTTTATTGGCTCTTTCTGGGAAGAGGGGAGCATAAGCAGAGGAATAATTCAAGGGTATCCCAGCACGTTGTGGAAGGAAGTTCATGGATGAGTCCTCAATGAGCTTTGGGGTATCCTGAGACTCCGCCAGTGTTGGAACAGCTGCTGGGGACTATGTGTGAGACGGATGACTAGAAAGAGCACTTCTGCCACTTTGCATTTAGCAGAGAGCTGGATTCCCCTAGCATCCTCAGCACCAGAGAGAGAAATGATACCTTTGCCAGCGCCCCCGTTCCCTGAGCAGCATGGCTTCTCTGCTTGCCAGGGAGATATGTATTAACAGGCAGACACCAAGCCCAGAAGAGTATATGTGTAGTTGTCTGCCTAACGTGGTGAACTTTTGGGTTGGGCCTTTGTCATAGAGGAATTTGAGGCATGCTTAGGTTAAAACAGCATTAATGAGGCTGAGCTGGTGAGAGTGACATCAGTAGAAGGAAAACCCAAAGTGCTGCTTGGGATTTTAGAGGCAAAGAAAAGCAGCCTAACTTGTTGCCAATGTAGAAGGCAGCCACGTGGAGGTGGTGAAATATCTATAGACCAGTAAGAAGAACTAAGCAGTGGGTTTTGAGCAGTCGAGAGTGGTGTGGTGTGGGAATTGGGGAGCCTATGAAGAAGAGGCAGCTGAAGCAAAGTGTGGTCAGAGAAGAGCAAAACCTTAGCATAACTGCTGAATCCTACCTGAGTCTTCCCCTTGAGTGTTTGGAGCATAGCCACCAAGATTACAAGTATCTTCTACAGATACTGGAGAAAACTGGCTACGTATTTTCCAGCTGTGTCCAGAAGGACTACCTCCCAGAATGTCGAGGCTGGATTGAAGTGGGTAAGCTGGAATGGAGCAAGCTCTCCTGGGGTATTTGTCAAAGTCTGGAGGAGCCTTTCCTGAGTCTTGCCACAGATCTTCATCAGTTGGACATTCAGGAAAAAATACCCATGCATTCCCCACCTGTATCTTCACCTCTTTTCAGATCAATCAACTAGTCCTCTCTGCTCCAGCAACTTGAAAACCTTCAGCTTTGCTTCAAAAGAATTTATGAATTCCCCTTGCAGTTCAAGTGCATTCGCCAGGAGTGGGGAATTCCTTTAGATCTCTGCTGAAGAATGCTTTTAAGTCAGGAGACCGCTTGCATCTACAAAGCAAAGTTGCTTGCTCACCGACCAGCTCTCTGCTGGAAGCAGCGTCTTCCTCAGAAGATTCACTGTTGTTCCCTGTTCCCTCTTGCCTATCTGTAAACTACCCCATGGCTAGGTAAATATTTTTATTATATCCTATGCCAAGCTTTCTTCCCCCTCCCACGGCAGAAGATGCGCATCAGCTCCCTTTGACTGCGAATGAACGCCCATGTCTGAAAGGAAGCTGGCCTCGCTCCAATCTCAGCCTCGCACATCCTGGCACAATGTTTTCCAACATCAAACTGTAGCAAGAAAACAAACTTCGTTTTGCTCCTCCGGTGTTAATATCGCCGCCCACAACTCTTGCAGTGAGCTCTTACAGCTGTTCTTTCACAGTCAGCTGGTAGGGTGATAGGATAAACAGGGAAGGATTATCCACCTCGGTGCTTAAATGGGGGATGGATGTGGTAACCAGGGCAGCTTCTGAGCTTCCCAGCATGGACACTGTGCGAAGGGGAAGGTTGAATAGGCTGGACATGTCCTCCTCTCTGTCAGAGCAATGCTGGTGCCCCTGGTCGTGGACTCTTGCAGTTGTTCCTAGTTACTTCACAGGCAGCCCAGCTTGGTTCCAAGAGCAGGATTTGGCTTTAAAAAGCCAATTTTTCCCCCAGCCATCCAGTCACCGACAAAACATCCCTTTTCTCTCTCCTCTTTTCTGCTTCTTTCTGCCTGGTTTATTGGTGAAAGCCAGCAGGGGTTCTGTGGGGAGCAGATCCAGGGCCACAGCCCTGTGAGCTTGGCTGCGTGTGGGGTGGTGTGGGAAGTGGGCTTGCTCTGCTGCAATAGCTCACTGCTCCCCTCCCTGTGTCTCAGGGAGAAAACTTGCTGCTGTTTGTTAGCGATGACTCTAAATGAGCACATCCTTCAGCTTTCTAGCCGAGCACATTTTTTGGCCTTTCGGTGGCCTGCCTTGTAAGGATTTAATGTTATCAGCAGAAGCCAAAGGTCTCCAACCTCCTCTCTGCCAAATGAGATCAGTGTCCTGCGTTGGAGGTCTGAAGCTCCACGATGCATCGAGCCACAGTCTGTCTGATAGCCCTGCTTTCTTTGATGTGACGATCCTAAGGCCTCTTTTCTCTTTGTCCTGTCTCTGCTCTGTGTCTCAGGGTTTTTAAGCACCTCTCATGTGAATGTATCACATCTTGAGCTAATTAGAGCTTAGTTTACAACAGGTTTTTCACAGGCTTGTGGGCAGTCAGTGGCAAGGTGGCTTTATAATGGGCTTGTATCTGCACACCACAGGGTTGGTGCCTTGTTGGTGACCCAGGGAGCTGGTAGCACCTCGCCTGAGTAAGGCAGCCTGCCATGGGGTTGCCTGCATGTGCAACCCGTTCTTCATATTGGTTAGATTTATGAGCAGGGATCCTCTTCTCCCACCTGCATGAGTGGGTTTGGCCCACTCTTCCCTGGACATCACGGTACATGGTGCTGTGGCTCAGAGTGGTTGGTGAGGCTTCCAGCTCCTAATGGGGTACTGGGAAATACCCATTTTCCATCAGCGCATTCCCACAGGCACCGCAGAAGGAGGAGACGTGTTCTCTTCATTGATGTATACGTGTGTTCTTAAAAAGCTATTGCCCAGGCACAGCTGTGGCCAGGACTGGTGAGCTCATGGACCCACGAAAGCCTCAGCAGCACAGACAGGTCTTGTGCAAACCGGCAGATTTGAGAGGGAGCTGCCAGTAGCTATCCTCTTCAGTGCAGTAACTCTGCTTTTATTCTCTGCGGGTAAAGGTGAGCATTGCTCTCTCAATTACTCCTCTCCAGAAGCTTCCCTCTGCTCTGAACTACGGAATTATCCCCGTTCTCTGTTGTATTTACTGACTTATTAGCATCTGCCGGATCCAACTGGGAGCTGCCCTGCTGGTAATCAGCATCCCCCCGGACGCACTCCTCCCTGGCTGACTCAGTCTGCCGCCGCGCTTCGGCACAGCCCTTCCCAACAGAGAAGCAATTGCTCTTTCTGCCCTGTCTGTCTAGAGCTCTCCCCCCCAAGCCCTCCCGGCAGCTGAGTCACTTCCTTCTTTAAATCTGGCCTTAAATCTTCCTTTTCTCTTCTTCGCCCTGTGATTCACTCCCTTTGTGAAGCGCTTTGCGATGCTCCGGCTGAAAGATGCTGAGATTCTTCCGGTGCGAGGGGTCCTCCTTGTCTCAGAGCCACAGCGGTGAGCCCCTCTCCGAGGGCTGGTCCCTGCACTGTGATAAATGGTGTCTTAGTATCAGTACTTCTCTTATCTTAGCAGTTCTTTCAGGGCTACATCTGACGTAGAAATAGGAGCCAGCTCCTGCCTGCAGGCGAGCGCGTGTAATTTCCTTTGACATCAGCGTGTGCCTGTGAGGGCACGGCTCTACCCTTTCCCACCCCATTTGATTAGATTCAGTAAGGGAGTCATTGCAGGATCTCTGCTGCTCCTCCTCGTCCCTTGTGGGATTTAAGGAGCGCCGCTGTTAGAACCGAGCTGAAATGTGCTCAGAGAAAGGAAAGCTTCAATTTCTGCTCTGTGAGCCTGGAGGTATTTTTAGTATAATATCGACACTCCTGAACTTTTTGTGTTAAGATTATTTTTCTCCCTTACCTGCTTATTTCCTTGGACTTGGACCCTCTCATATCTAAGTGCCTTGCCTTTCCATGGTTTCCTGGTATGGAAGGGAATTGCCAACCAACAGGGTAGTTAAAAGATGTCACGAATTAGCTGCGTGGCACCACTGAACTGGGCTAGATCTGTTCCAGTTACCAGCAAAGAGTGGGATAAATTTGCCAAAGTTTTTAAATCCTGCTTCTGGGTGTGACTTTAGTAGTTAAGCACTAAATCCATTTCACTCCTGTTGCAGCTTAGGCATACAAATACTCAAGTTGCTTAGGAAAGCATCCTGTGGGTACCTTGCCCTCAGAAGCTGGCCAGAAATGGGCAAGACCAGGGACCATACCTGGTTCTGTGAAGGTGTGGTGGCTTCCTTAGAACAGTGGTGCCCAGGCCAGTGCCAGCGGCATAAGAGCACATTAATGAAACATTTGGGATTGAATGAGGAGGTTTAGTGGCAGATTGTGATGCTTCAGTCGCTCCATAAGGGGAGGTCTGTTTGTGGGACAGTTGTGCTTAAAAACACATGCAGGCTGTGCAGGTATATCTGTTTGTAGCTCTGGTTTTCTAAAACATGACTGATAACTGGATTTCTAAAGAGTGACAAAAAGTCATTTTCCAGTACAGTAAGTCTGCAAATGAATTGAAATCACTATTGTAAAGAAGCTTAGTTTCTATGGAGGGGCTATGGAGTTTGATAGAAAAAGAAGACCTCTAGTCCAAGGAGAGGACTTTTCATTTAAACTAATTCCTACAGGAGACATAGCAATCAAGTAAATGAGAATTGCCATTTCTAATAAATACTGATAATCCTAAACTCTGATTTTTAATAAAGCTTCAGCAATCACATTCTTCAGCTTCGAAACAGAGAGCTCTTGAGAACAACGTAACATCTTCTTTGCATACTGATCTTACCTTGCATACTAAGCTTACATTGCCTATCTTTGTTTTCTTTTGCTTAGAATGAAGTGATCAGCCAGCAGCTCTCTGTCATTTTCACTCATTGCTATGGACCCTACCCTATTCCAAAGCTCGTTGAAATTAAGCGCAAGCAGACCTCTCGCCTAGGTAAGCGTGACTTGAAGATATTTGTTGGTTCTCCAAGGAGTGCTGTGGAAAGTCTGCATCGCTGTCTGGGTGCTCAGGGAGGGGGGCACAAGTCAGGGAAAAACCCGAATGTGAAAGGCAGAGCTGGAAAAAGGAAGGACCCCAAACTTAGCCCGACCTGAAACTCCTCCTGAAATCGGGAGGGTCATCAGGTGTGTTAGAGTGGCACCATAAATCTGCAAAGATTTGTCTGTATTTTTAATTAGAGTGGGATGTGAGCCTGGGGCCCGGAGCCAAATATCTGTCCGCATCTCAAACCGCTGTGGCTGGCTGCAGGAGATGCCGCGGCGGCACAGCCCTCTCAGCCCTGATGACAGAGCCCGGGTTGTTCTAATGTCATCGAGGGAAGATCCAAGCGATTTTCCAGGACCCTCTTCCCCTTAGCACAAAGACTTCCCTGCACAGGGAGAGGGGAGTAATAGGAGGTAAAAATGAGCATAAGGCCCTCCAGCTGCAGGTTGCTTTAGGTAGCAGAGCCGGGAGGCTGTGCCAGCTCCACACGGCAGGGACGGCTGGCTGTCATCTTGGCAAAGGTTGTCACAGACTTCAAAGCTTTGAATTCCTTTCGTCTGAACTCCACATGGCTGTCTAGGGGGCTTCTGTCTCAGGCTGTCCAAAATAGCTTTATGGGCTTTACTCATTAAAAATATATCCTTTTACGCTATTGTCTTCTTTTGTCAAAACAGGAAAACATTCTGTGTGTTCATGGCCTCTTCCAAACTAAAGTTACTGGCTTTTTTTTCTTTCTTTTTTCAATTCTAGATCCCCATTTCCTTAACAACAAAGAGATGTCAGATGTTACATTTTTGGTGGAAGGAAGACCATTTTATGCACATAGAGTGTTGCTATTTACTGCATCACCAAGGTAAAAGATAGAAACATTTCTGATTTTTAACAAAAATAGAATTTGATTTTGTGGGTTTGGTGGCTGGGGGTTTTTTTTGTTAAGATTCTTTGATGGCTAGTGGCCCAATCTTCAAGTTTTTCCTAAGCAGAACAGCTTGTTTCCGGTTGATCTGCAGGATGTTTAACAAGTGCTCCCATCACTAGATTCCCACCCAGTAAATGATCCATGCTTCTGGCCATGCATCTGACTTCATTCCACTGAGGCACATTTGCATGGAGCTCGTTGCTGCACCCAGCTCTTAAATCATACAGAAGTCTTAATATTTTGATTCTTAATAATCATTTATCCTGTGAGTGGCTAAGTCCTGCCTTGCATCAGTGTTGACAGTCTCCAGGAGGAACAAGCTACTATCACACAATTCATTGACAGCATTTGACATTTTAAAAATAAAATTAAATAACTGCAAAATGTATCATACTGTATCCAAAGGCAGTATTTATAGCCTGTTCCCTGTGCTCAGAAGACTGGGCATGGGTTACCCTGCCCAAACCAGCCTTAAAGATGCTCACAAACCTTATTTATATGCAGCTTTATAATTAAAAGTGTGCTTTCAAACAAATTTAACTGGCCCTCCATAAGAGCTTATTTCAAGATGTGGCAAGGACAAGCCACCAAGTTTTAGGTAGTTTGAGCAATGTGGGAATTGATGCTAGACGTGCTGCCAACCCGCAGCCCAGAGCACAGAGATTTGCATAAAGCATCTGACTCTGTCTTCAATTAAGAAATGTGTATTTTGGTTTAAAGAATTTTGGTAGAGGTACAAAGACATTCCAAACTCCAGCTTTAAACCTACTAAATTGTGTTCACAGTGGAGTTTGACACTTGTAAAAGCAAATCAGTCATAATCCATATTTTAATTAACAAGATGCAGTCGTGGTATGGAAAAGGTTACTATCCCGAAAACGCTGGTCTTGATAGATAAGCTGAGCTTTGCACTACCACTAGAAGATAAGATAAATTATCAAAGAGAGGAAGTACAAGGGCACATATTTCTGACAGTGCATTCCCATTTTTGCTTCCTAATCAAATGGAAATATCTAGTTTTGAGAAATAGATTGCTACATATGTATATGTTTCACATTAATCTGCAAATATTAACTTAAAATGTGAGGGTTTTTTCCTGGAACCTATGTCTGAATTTGAGGTTTTGATAATCACAGAACAGCAACCTATCCAGTTTTCTCTTCTGCCTGTTCTTACACAACTGTATTGAACCGGTGTGGAAGCATTAAAAGTTTTAGTGTAGTTGTTTTAATATTTTGTTGCAAAACATGTTTTTTAAAGCAGCATAATGAACACAGGCCAAAATTTCTCTCCTTGGTGTGCAGTTTTTAAATGTTGCAAGTCTTCCCGAAAAAAGATTATTTTTTGTTTTCTAATATGCATCATGACAGTGTCTGAATTTCTCATACACATTTTTTTCTATTGTGATATTATGTGTATTTTTCAAAAATTTCAAACTGAAATCTCCTGGAAGAGAGGCTTCTTCCTTTTGGTTTGAATTTTATTTTATGTCGGTGTCTAAATCTCGATACTTTTCAGTGACAAATCCATTAATTTCAGTGTACTGTTTTTGCAAGAGCTGATGCTGTCCTTCCACTTTGCCATTCTTTTTCACAGAGATAACTGGGCTTGTGTTTCAATCTTGCTCCCTTTTATTTAGGTTTAAAGCATTGCTGTCTAGCAAGCCCTCATCTGATAGTACTTGTATTGAGATCAACTATGTGAAGTACCCCATCTTTCAGGTAAAGTCAGTTCTCACATTGAATTTCAATGGAACATGTAGTAGGAACACCGTATGTGCCCTGCCCAAATTAGAACGTATGTATTTGATAAACACGTAGCTCAGACTAGTGGTGTCATGAGCACAGGCTTCAGCTCCGTTCATACACCAAGCTGCAGAGTGCTATTGATGGCAAATATTGTGCCCGAGCCGATACAATAGCACGCATTTCACTTACGCAGACAAAGCAGTGCATGTCAAGGTAAAGCACTTGATTCTTGATTCTTTTTTCTTTCCTTGGCTCTTCCTGTATTTAATGGACAGGCTTGGAAGAGACACAGTTCATTCCTTTCCATAGCAGTATTGTTCAATCAATTTTTTGCCATGAAAATAGAGAGCTTGCTTTCTGTATCTGTAGCGTATACGTGTGTGTGCTTCCCTTGATTTGAGTCGGAGCTCAGACAGTTCCATGAATCGACTGTTACCGCTGCAGATAATTCCCAGCTGCCTACGGTAACTTTAGGCTTGCTGGAAGCTGACTGTGGAGGGATTTTAGCTGGCTCATATTACAGTGCAAAGCCTCCCCCACTCTTTCTCATCATCCATGCATGCCCACACACAGCTGGGTGAAGGTGGGGGGTGCCATTGCCAGGGAAGGAATAAGGGAATAACCGTTAGATATGATATATTTTCCCAAATCAATAATGTACTGAACGTACTGAGAAATACATTGAAAATTCAGAATGAATTAATCAGCTTCCTGCAAACGGTTTGGAGCTCACCAGAAAGTCTGGAGAACATGGCTGGTGAGGGTTGGGGTGTTAGACTACCTGTGAAGGAAACAGAGAGGGGAGAGTAACCAAATGTGTCTTAAAATTAGGAGGTTTGGGCCAGTTTTGTCTACAAATCCTTGGTGGTGTTGGAGTGTCTCAGGTATTGCCTGCAATCTTTACATCACACATCCTGATGTCTCAAATTGCTTTTTATAAACACTCCCTTTGTTTTATTACAGCTGGTTATGCAGTATCTTTATTATGGAGGTGCAGAGTCACTCTTGATTAAAAATAATGAAATTATGGAGGTAAGAGACATTTATCTTAATTGCAGTGGGAGCAATGCTAAGTGCAAGTGCTAAGAGCAATGTACCGTTCGCACGTGCCATCGGGCAAGACATGAGCACTCCCTTAAGAGCCAGCAGTGCCTCACCCAGAGTGACCAGGGTAACTTTTGCCAGTATGAAGTTGACTGTCAAAGACAAAAGAGTACAAAAATTGACATCATCAAGCAAAAAAGTATCTGAAATAACAGTATCTAGTTGGATGCTTTGTGAGGCTCTTTCAAGGAAGTGCTAATCTGGTGTAACTGGAAGCAGCTCCTGGCAGCGTAGTAGACCATCCTCTCTCTCAGCCTGATAGGTGAAGTGTTCTGCTCCAGCTGGGCTGGTCAGCTTCTCTCTGCCACACTCAAATAAACTTCTGGTTTATTAGCTCAGGTTTAGAAGTCCAGACCTATCTCAGCAACATAGAAGCATCTAATTTGGTTCCTCCATCAAAAGAGTACTTGGCTTTAACCATGGGAGAAATCCCACTGGAGTCACAGTTCAGTTCAATTTCAAGCACGTGACTCTCAAATTTTCTGAATAAAACCTTAACTGCTTCCTGAGATATAGAGAATTCTTTGCCCCTTTCTCACTGCATGTAAAGCACCCCATGCCATCGGTGCCCATTTGTGAAAGCCAAACCAAGCCAACAGGAGCTGACTGAGCCTTCAGTGTAGCCACACGCCCACAACCTGATATTGAGTCGTGCTCTTCCCAATACTGTGTGCGGTCATTACCAGCAATGATCAGCCTAATGGCTCCAACTATATAGTATTAAGAGATATTTGAGCAAATTCTTGATAGTTGTTCAGGGAGTTTTCCTGTTGACAATCACCAAAAATTATGGTAGCCAAAAATAATACAGGATAGTAAATATTAAAATCAGAGCTACTTAAGCATCTGGGAGTCATCAGTGTACAGATTATAGTCTGCCACCATGATGTTTTTATTGTTGCCTACAATAGTTAAGCCTGTCCCTATGACACTTCTGTCTGGAGCATCCATGCAAAGCTTGACTTTTACCAAAGTATTGCTAACCACAAACTGGGAGCAACTCTTTTTGGAGTACTTTGGAGATTCAAGGATGAATCTTGATTCTAGTGGGTACAGGGATAACTGTACCAACTCTGCTGGCAGCCAGAGGGTGGAAATAATCCAGACTGAAACTAACCCCTCTCCAATGCAGGTGGTTGGTTTTTAACTAAGCATACCCACACTTACTTTCTGAGCTTTATAGGAAAAGGTCACTGACTGTCTATTTCACTCATGGTTTTGAAAGAAGCTCCTGAATTTCTAACTCTTTGTGAAATAAGGAGTCTCAGGCAGTGCAACAGCTTTATAGAGCTGCGTATGTTATCACCTAGGCTGTTAAAAAGCTTGTGCTGCAGTTCAGCTGGCTGCTTGCTCTACTTTTGTGACATCTCAAAACTTCTGTGACTCAAGAATGTATGACTGATTGATTGATCTGTTGATAACAGATCTGGCCACGGTTCCTCACAGTTTAAAGTAATTACAAACCAGCACGTGACTGCTTGAGCCACAGAGGCAGCTGGAATAGGATTTGGCTTTATCTTTCAAAACTGCATTTAGCAACTTGCCTTATTACAAATATGATAACAAGAAGCACCAGAAATACTCCACAGAAATCTTTGTTGCAATTCATAATTGGGGCCAGCTGGCTGCTATCACATCAGCACTGCAGATTTCCAGCACTTGGATTTATTTATGGGATTAAAGCAGAGCTTGAGCAGACTGCATAGGAGAAGTCAGAACAGTGTCATGGAAGTTTCAGGGTTTTGTTCCCCAACAGTCCTAACGAGGAGCAGCGTGAGAGCCCTTTTGGGATTCACAGGATAGCTTTTTGTCATGCGGTTGTAGATGAGAATGGGCATATAAATGAACAGCTTGGCCTAAGAGACCTGGCTGGGTTAGAGAAAGATGTCAAGCCATGAAGAATCTCAACCTGCTTCCTAAGCCAGAGCAGGGAGCCAGAGGCAGTGACCTAGCATGGAAACACAGAAAATGAAATTCTTTTTCTCTGCTGGTGCTAAGAGCAATGTACCGTTCGCCCAAGGGCACGTGCCATTGGGCAAGACATGAGCACTCCCTTAAGAGCCAGCAGTGCCTCACCCAGAGTGACCAGGGTAACTTTTGCCAGTATGATGTTGACTGTCAACGTGCCATCGGGCAAGACATGAGCACTCCCTTAAGAGCCAGCAGTGCCTCACCCAGAGTGACCAGGGTAACTTTTGCCAGTATGATGTTGACTGTCAAAGACAAAAGAGTACAAAAATTGACATCATCAAGCAAAAAAGTATCTGAAATAACAGTATCTAGTTGGATGCTTTGTGAGGCTCTTTCAAGGAAGTGCTAATCTGGTGTAACTGGAAGCAGCTCCTGGCAGCGTAGTAGACCATCCTCTCTCTCAGCCTGATAGGTGAAGTGTTCTGCTCCAGCTGGGCTGGTCAGCTTCTCTCTGCCACACTCAAATAAACTTCTGGTTTATTAGCTCAGGTTTAGAAGTCCAGACCTATCTCAGCAACATAGAAGCATCTAATTTGGTTCCTCCATCAAAAGAGTACTTGGCTTTAACCATGGGAGAAATCCCACTGGAGTCACAGTTCAGTTCAATTTCAAGCACGTGACTCTCAAATTTTCTGAATAAAACCTTAACTGCTTCCTGAGATATAGAGAATTCTTTGCCCCTTTCTCACTGCATGTAAAGCATCCCATGCCATCGGTGCCCATTTGTGAAAGCCAAACCAAGCCAACAGGAGCTGACTGAGCCTTCAGTGTAGCCACACGCCCACAACCTGATATTGAGTCGTGCTCTTCCCAATACTGTGTGCGGTCATTACCAGCAATGATCAGCCTAATGGCTCCAACTATATAGTATTAAGAGATATTTGAGCAAATTCTTGATAGTTGTTCAGGGAGTTTTCCTGTTGACAATCACCAAAAATTATGGTAGCCAAAAATAATACAGGATAGTAAATATTAAAATCAGAGCTACTTAAGCATCTGGGAGTCATCAGTGTACAGATTATAGTCTGCCACCATGATGTTTTTATTGTTGCCTACAATAGTTAAGCCTGTCCCTATGACACTTCTGTCTGGAGCATCCATGCAAAGCTTGACTTTTACCAAAGTATTGCTAACCACAAACTGGGAGCAACTCTTTTTGGAGTACTTTGGAGATTCAAGGATGAATCTTGATTCTAGTGGGTACAGGGATAACTGTACCAACTCTGCTGGCAGCCAGAGGGTGGAAATAATCCAGACTGAAACTAACCCCTCTCCAATGCAGGTGGTTGGTTTTTAACTAAGCATACCCACACTTACTTTCTGAGCTTTATAGGAAAAGGTCACTGACTGTCTATTTCACTCATGGTTTTGAAAGAAGCTCCTGAATTTCTAACTCTTTGTGAAATAAGGAGTCTCAGGCAGTGCAACAGCTTTATAGAGCTGCGTATGTTATCACCTAGGCTGTTAAAAAGCTTGTGCTGCAGTTCAGCTGGCTGCTTGCTCTACTTTTGTGACATCTCAAAACTTCTGTGACTCAAGAATGTATGACTGATTGATTGATCTGTTGATAACAGATCTGGCCACGGTTCCTCACAGTTTAAAGTAATTACAAACCAGCACGTGACTGCTTGAGCCACAGAGGCAGCTGGAATAGGATTTGGCTTTATCTTTCAAAACTGCATTTAGCAACTTGCCTTATTACAAATATGATAACAAGAAGCACCAGAAATACTCCACAGAAATCTTTGTTGCAATTCATAATTGGGGCCAGCTGGCTGCTATCACATCAGCACTGCAGATTTCCAGCACTTGGATTTATTTATGGGATTAAAGCAGAGCTTGAGCAGACTGCATAGGAGAAGTCAGAACAGTGTCATGGAAGTTTCAGGGTTTTGTTCCCCAACAGTCCTAACGAGGAGCAGCGTGAGAGCCCTTTTGGGATTCACAGGATAGCTTTTTGTCATGCGGTTGTAGATGAGAATGGGCATATAAATGAACAGCTTGGCCTAAGAGACCTGGCTGGGTTAGAGAAAGATGTCAAGCCATGAAGAATCTCAACCTGCTTCCTAAGCCAGAGCAGGGAGCCAGAGGCAGTGACCTAGCATGGAAACACAGAAAATGAAATTCTTTTTCTCTGCTGTAAAAAGGCAGAAAAGATGTCAATAGAAGAAATCTTAGCACTACTGAAATTAGTTGGAGAACTCAAAATTTAAGCCGTTTTCACCCCACAGGCTTCATGTGTAGTGGCATGCAGAGATCCCAAGGCAGTGGCAGTCCAGGTAGCGTATCCGTGGGGTGGATACTGCACCAAAGAGGAGGTCAGCTTGAGTCCTGATGGTGGGAGAGCTGTGGTACGGGCACATGGCACTAACATGAGTGTTAATGAGGCAGTGCCTCACACCAAGCTGCTTCTCACGTTTGCTTTGTATCCTGCTCTGTACCCGCTCCTTGGAGTCATATGGAGCCAGACAGTGTTTCAGTACCTGTGGCCTGGACATGATCTAAGCACTGCTCATGAGCTAGAGCATGGAGCATATGAAGATTTGACTCCATTTCCTTGAGCCTGCTGAGGTGGCAGATTTGACATTTATTGGGTCTCTAGATTTTTAAGGCTGCCCAGTATGATTATCATCATCTGGTTGAAATTCCTCTATACTCTCCATCCTGGCACTTCTGCTACTGACATCCCCACATCCAGCCCAGGTGCTCTGTTTCAGCCAGAGCTTGGGGAACGGTTGAACCCAAACTTTTTTTTTTCCCTGGAATGCAATTGCAGATCCCTTCTTGCAGAGTCATCTTTGCAAAGTGACCACAGACTCTCCAAGCTACCATTTCCTTTTTCTCTCTCCCCCCACCCCAAATTCAGCACATGGACCTGAACAGCCTGTGGTGGTCTCTCATGTACAGCTTCCCACAATGTGACCTACAGGGGACTGCAAAGGGTTGAAGCAACCAAGCAACGTTCTCATTCTGACTGTTTATCAGTACTTTCATGAAAATTGAGGCAGGGGCAGAGAAAAAAATATAATGAAACAGTAAAGAAAAGCAAGCTCTGATTCTGTATCGCTCAGCAGTTGTGACTATTTTTTTCCATGCTTTTTTTTCTAGCTTCTCTCTGCTGCTAAATTTTTCCAGCTTGAAGCTTTACAACGACACTGTGAGATCATTTGCGCAAAAAGCATTAATACAGAAAACTGCGTGGATATTTATAATCATGCCAAGGTAAAAATAACCACATATGCTTTTATGTTATATGTCTGTCGTCATACTCGTAGGTCAGTTTTATGATAAGAAGTGGTAGTTTGTTATTTATTTAAGATTTGTCATTTACTGGGGCTGAGTGGCAGATAGCTACCTAGTATAGTGACAGTCCTAAATTGTGTAGTGCAAGAGCATCTGTTGCAACTGCTCACCCCCTTCTCTAAGTGCTTCAAACTCAATTTGAGTGTACCACCGTGTGGCAGACCTGTCCATTATCACGGCAACCCAAACAGCTGAGCTATTCAACAAGAATCACCTAACTGAGTAAGACACCTGTCTTTCACCTTCCAAGTTGCATTTTCCCATTACGATTTCCTGTTTCCTCCTGGCTGAAGCCCACTGGGGTGATACACTCAATGCTGGTGACAGCTTGTCAATATATAAAAATCCCACCTTGTCAAAGTGCAACGTCTCCATGCCGTGCAAGGATAGTAATGAGAATTTTATGTCTTGGACAGGAGAGATTCATAGCTTCTTATTGGAATCAAATAATTTACTTAGCTTGTGAGGCGGCCTAAGTCATTAGGCGTAAAAGCATAGTATTTTTTGACCTAGAAAACCTATTTTTGCTCATTGATGGAGGTGGTTGCCACATTGATTAGTTTCATTTTTTTTCCTCCTCTTAGAGGAGGAAAGTAGTTAGACTTTCAGTTGGAAGATGGAGATGATACACAAATAGTTGCAATGAAACATTTTTAAAGCATTCCTTAGATGATTTTTTACTTTAACTTACATGGTCTGTACAAATGATAAAATGGTGCAGCGTGACACGGAGGTTTGATTGAACAGAGTAATCCTGCAGATTGCTCCAAACCCCTGCAGATCTGACCTCCATTCCCATTATCGAGTATTTCCTACAGAGAGTATTAATGTTGGATCTTGATGTACAGATAACACACAATCAGCGCAGTTTGAAATAGCGTGAAGTTCCACCTATAAAATGAATAAGAAATGAAGTGTATCTTCAGGTCCATTTATTGTAATAGGGAAAAAAATCAGCAGTCTTGGAATCTTTTGAAAAATTTTTTATTTATCTTCTAGCTCATGTGGGAACTTCTCAATTTGTATTAGTTATTAAAAGTAAAAGGAATAGTTTTGTTTTAAAATTACATGTTTTCTTTGAATTGTGAAATGTGATTGTTACTTACATTCTGATTGAAGAAAGTTCTTAGATGGAGCTTCAGACCTGTCTGAGGAACTTGTCCACTGCTGATGCTGGGACTGAACAAACCCAGTGGCCAAATCAGGCTCCTTGTTTGCTTGTAAGGGTCCCAACCTGTGAGTTTTTTGTGCCTGCATCTCCCAGAGGAGTCAGTGTCAATGGTTGAGAGGCTTTCATGGCCAGGGTAATGTTTGCGCTGATGTGGGTAGTGCGTTGCAGAGATAGCCAAGCTAGCTGTGAATGAAATTGACTTCTGGAATTAGTTAAGCCACATCACCCTAGAGCTCTGCAGGGGCTAATTTACCCTGCTTCCAGTAAATTACCAGGGCTAAGCTTCGTAGCCAGAAGGTTTCCAGGACCCCAGCTAGCACATTTAAAGCTAGTTCAGGTACCTCTGTTACGCTGTCTGCAGAACAGAGAAGACACTCCATCTATTTGCTCTTGGTCTGTGTGATGTGCAGGTGATTAATCTGAGCACAGATCGTTCTGCCCGGAGTGCTCCCATCACACAGTTGCTTCATTTGTTTGTTATGTGAATACAAGACAATGGTATGTGGCAGAAGAGGCCAGATGGTCCTCATGAGCCAGGAGAGCTCACAAGCAGTTCGAGCTCAGCTTGCCAGCCAACCATCTACCTTTCCATGTTGCTCTCTGAAGTGTGGAAGAAGCTCGTGTTAGGCTGCGGTGAGGATGGGAATAAGATGATCAGGCACTGAAGCGAGGAACCACCACGTCAGCCAGGAGCAGGTTTTGAGTCACTTGCTCCTGTTGTAGGTACCATTTCTCATCTTTGCTACTTTGCAAGCTCAGCTGCACCTGCAGCAACTCGGGCGATGCTGAGACCTGCTTTTCCAGATGGGGAAGTGCGAGCAGATTGGCCCTGAGATACATGGAACACAGTCTTTATCATCACAATTGAGAGAAAGATAGGATTTGCTGGAAGCACAGCATGAAGTGAGAAAAGATTTGGAAGGCTATTTGTGGTGAGGGCATAGGTTGTAGGAGACCAATATTCAGCAGGATGAGGAGCTGAAGGAACAAAGAAGTTGGGACCCTGGTTTAAAGAGTTGAAGTTCTGGTAGGAAGGGGAGAAAATATGGATTTGGTCACATTTACAGTGAAAAAAACGAATTGAGAGAATTAAAATAATCTGTGCCATCCCTACAGGCTTTCCGTTCTTACAATTGCAACATCTACAAAGGCAGCCAGTGGATTAGTATCAGTTTCAGGGTTTCATTTTTCAAAATCTTTGTCACTGTTTTTTACCTCCAGAGAAAAGTGAAGTAACTGGGCAAATTGGATTTATGATGGTGATTGATCAGTTACCACTGGATACCAGTTGTGTTCTGCATGAATGCCCCCGAACTCCCAGCAAAATCAATTGGAGTTTCAAATACATGACTAAAACACTCAGCACATGCACAGATTGCAGCCTTGGGCCTCAGAACAAACTAAAAAAGAAAAGAAAAATACTTTCTTTTCTCAATGTTTTGAATATATTGAAATACCGAATAGGGATGAATGGTTTTTCAGAGAAGAATACAGATTCACATACATGCTGTCATATCCAGACACTCATAATTTGATGAAAACATACATGGTTTGAAATCAAGTTGAAATAATTCATTTTCCTTTGGAAGACAGATCCAACGTAGGCCTAATCTGTTTTGGGGCTTTTTAATTCTTTATTTTTAAGAATTTTTTTAGCTATTTTCGTTCTTGGTTCTGAACATGATGTTACGGTGGTGGTGGGCCACACTGCTGTGTAGTTGTTCCTGTCTGGATCCAGAGCTATGCAATGCCCCAGCAGTTCTGGCCCTTCAGGCTGCACCTCGCAGCCAAAGGTTCCTGCTTTACTCAGAGCTCGTACTCAGAGCTCGGACCCAGCAGGAGCTTACTTGGGATGGAGGATGGGCTGAGCACTGCTCTCTACACTTGCATGGCTTATAATTACACTTATAGTGGAATATCAAGGCTATACGCATTGTGTGACCACAGGATCTAGCCAATGGGTGATGACCAGTATGGCTCACCCATCAAATAACCAGTATGGATGATTTAAGGTTTGCTTGTACGTTTTTGCTCCCAGCATTAAGGTTTCCTCATGCGTTACAGTATTGCTGCCCATTACGCAGACATGGCTCAGCATAAAGGGGATACTTACAGGCCCAAACCACATGCTCTGCAAACCTCCATTTCCCCTCCAGAGATTCCTTAAAGCATGAAACTTCACATGACAGATCATGTGTCCCATCATAAATTAAACTTGGTCTGTAGTAAATTGTCCCAAACCTATAGTTTTAGGGTGTAACTTCTAGCATGAAATCATGGGTCTAGTGAACCCTGTGGTAAAACTCCCACTAATTTCAAAGGGAGCAAAGATTCAGCCGTGGAGTTTATTTCCTTAACGGCCATGGCCTTGTAATGGAATTGTGACCAGAATCATCAGTGTAAAATACTGATTAACTCCATCCCCTCCCACGTATATATGTGTAAGGGTGACTGCCTGTCTGAAAGGCTTAGTTTGTATATTTGTTTGTGTGCAGGTCTTATGCACTGTATTTGTTAAGCAGGTTTTATCAGAATAATTATCTTTCTCTAATTTCACTTCCTGTAGTTTCTCGGAGTCACAGAGTTATCTGCCTATTGTGAAGGCTACTTTCTAAAAAATATGATGGTCCTCATTGAAAACGAAGCTTTCAAGCAGCTGTTGTATGACAAGAACGGAGAAACATCTGGTCAAAATGTACTTCAAGACTTACAGAGGACGTTGGCCACAAGGATTCAGTCAATTCATTTATCTTCTTCAAAGGGCTCCATTGTATAAAGCTGAGGAAGACGATAACCCTCGAATAAAGACCCTGCAAGTTAAGTCTGCTGTTGCAGTTGCTCAAACCCGTTGCAGTTGCTTAAACGACTACAAAAAAAAAAAAAAATAAATTAAAAGATTCTACTTCGCATCCAAATAGTTCTGTGTTGGCCAAAGGTGCTGCGCTGGGCCTGCTGCCCCGTTTGGATGAGGGAATACAGAACGCAATGCTCCTCCGTGTTTTTGAGCAAACGGGGTGCAAGAGTATCCAGTGGAGTGCTGTTGTACTCACATTCTGAACACACGTGTGTGGTTGTGGAGCTCGATGCCAACAAAAGCCAGAACTCACATCAGTGAACAGCAGAAGCCCCTGCCTGAGCGGTGGTGTCAGGGAACACCCGAATTGACCGGTTAATCATTTACGGTGGATTTGTTCCAGTGTTACACGTTTAAGAACTATATCTATCCCGGATTCCATTATCTCGTGCATTTAAGAAATGTAAGAACTGTTGTTGCTGTCAAGCAAAAGATCAACTGTATTAGAGAGTGGGTAAGACTGTTACAGCTGAGGAAATATACTGGCAGATTTTTAGGGGTGGGAACTTTTTAAATTGTTCATAAAATTAATGGGGTGGCCTTGTAGTTTAAAAACTATTTCTTAAGCTTAAAATTTCATTTTCGACAGAGCTGTGTTTGAGAATCTATGTAACACGTTTTGTTTTTTTTTTTAAATGGTAAAATGTACATTGTGCAAACATACCTATGATCAAGTTTTGCTTGTATTCTTTCCTAGGGTGGTATAATCTTGCCCAACGGGCTATGGTTACACCAAAGAGGTACATTACCCAGACTATCTCTAATACAGTACTTGGGGGGGCGGGCAGGAGAACTGCATGCTACTTGTGATTTGGGGCTAAAAACAGTGACAAAAAAATCAACATGCATTTGCATGGTAACTGTACCTGTGAAATGTTACGTTCGTGCTTCGTTTTGCCAAGACAAATGCAATGTTACTTCTTGTCAAACTTCATTTGTGAAATTAGCATTTTATTATTTTTTTTTTATTTGGTGCAATTGGTTGTGATATGATACCCCCGGAGACCCTTCTTGAGTTGCTGGTTTCTGTTTGTTACAGTGAAGGGACAATAACAGATCTTTACTTCAGTCATGTGTCAATACTTCGCTACTGGCCAGAGATTGTGTCCGAGTTAGATTTTTTTTAAATTATAATTAAATATGTACTATAGAATGATTTCTCACTGTATCCTGAGAATGTGTAGGTTATGTACAATGCAGGGTTTGGGTGGGGTGGGATGGAGGGGTGTGATTTAATGTCAAAGCTTCATTTATTTTGCAGCGTATTGCTAGCAAGACAAATCTGCTATGTGCCACAACATTCCTGATGCTGTTTCTGAAAACCACAGCAAGAAGTAGGCAAAAATGTTGCCTTCTCCATGGCAAAGTGACATTAATATATTTGTTTTCTAGCATGCCTTTCAGAAACTGTGCCCAGTTCATAGACTTCAGAAGTTTTATTTTGACAGTGCAAGTTAACCTCTTGTTCTTTTGTTGAAGTATCTACGTCGGATGCTCTTCCATGTTGATAGCTTTTGGCATGCTCAGAGAACACAGTTTTGGCTTTAGTTATCAACACAGTAGGAACCTGTTTTATGACTCTGAGGTGTAAATCTTCCTGTGTGCTTGGTCTTTTAAAAGTCTGTACAGTTTCTGCAACAAATTACAAAAATGTCTAAACTGCCACTAATGTCACAGAGACACAGCAGGTCAGTCAATTAGACCTTTTTTTTATTGCATAGTATATGTTCACACAAGATGTTGTCTGGAACATTTAGGTAATGGCAACTTCTGTGTGAATGCTGCGATCTTAGAGAAGTGAGACCGTGGTTGATGCAACAGCAACACACAGGGGTGCTTGTTGTCATTTGGTGTGCCTCCTCATCCATGGAAACCCATCCTTCCATGCCAACGATAACTAGATAGGAGCAGACCTCACCCTGCAGCTTCATGCTTTAAAATAGCAAAGTTTTTCAGCCAATAATCATGATACTAAATTTTTTCCTCTGATTACATGTGTAGTGCCTAATGAAGTTGTCAGGAGTTGCATACACCTATTTCGATAGGCAAAATAAGGTTTTTCTGAGAAACATGCCCACAGGTGTACCTGTGGATAGGAAGTCTGGCGTCTAATGCTATGATGGTAGCCAGAAGTGATGTACCCCTGTTTGTAGCTCAAATATTAACTGTGCTTTTGGTAAGGAGATGTAGAGTCCTACATGCATGGTCTGCCCCGGAAGGTGATATCTTTTGAGCATTTGTAGGAACCTACCTGGGACTCCTGAGGAAGGAGACGCTGACAGTTGTGCTAGTTGTTCTGAGGAGTTGACAGTATCTAGTATCTGTGGTAACGTTCATTGGTTTTCTTTCAGAGACAAAGGGCTTAACATGTCCTTTGGTGGCCCTGTGTGAACTGAGTGGTCACCATCTTTGGGCACTCAAAGGCAAACGTGAGCCAAAGGCTCTAGTGACAGAGTGCAGCTGCCACCAAACACAGGCTGGGTGAGCCCAATGTATTTGTGTGTCCCCATGCTCCTTTGGCAGCTCATGAGTCTGGGTGGCTGAGCATGAAAGAAAGCGTGACACCCACTGCTGCCCCGAGATCTGCTTTGCTGGTGTCTAGCAAATGGTAGGAGAGAAAAAGCCCCAGGAGCCTGTCCTTCAGAGCTGTTGTAGGAAGGGGTTGTGGCTGTTGATGTATAAGGGAGTAACTTTTGCCCTTCAAACCACCGGTAACCCCAAAGTCATAGAGGTATAGCTGAAAAGAACCTTAAAAAATAATAATGACTTGCAATTCTTTTTCGACCTGTGAGTCCCATCACTCCTGCCAGGAGAAGAGCCAGTTCCTGTGTAACCCTGGAGTTCATTTCTCCTGGCAGCAGTCAGCAGACCTGTGTGGTCGCAGACCAAAGTTTGAAAATGTGGTTTTAGTCCACCTCTTCTTTCATGCGGCTGGGCGAGGTCTAGCCGAACCACACCAGACAATGTGCAGGCTCTTGAAACATCCAGTGGCAGGGCTCCATGATCTTCACTACCCTCATAATCAGAACATTTTTCTAAGAGATCATTTGGAATTTACTGCAAATTGAGCCACTTTACTTGATTGACAGGAAGAACAGATGATCTTACATAGAATAATCTTGTAAGAAGATTTTGTATGAGAGGAACTATCCTACTTTCCTCGCTGGCATAAGTCTTTCCTAGTTCCTGTGCTAGTATTTTCGGTCTCTGATTTTTGCTACCGTTCCCCTCATGACTCCTCAGTTTCCCCAAAATGCAGAAATCCAGCAGGAGTTTTATACAGTAACAAGCAAAGCGGAGTAGGCTGTCTCCTGAGATTTATGTACAGCCTATCAGAAAATATATCCTGTAATATTTTCTACAAGAACATCCCGTGGCAGACTTTGATAGAGTCTGTCTTCTGTCACAATTCCTGGGTGATTCGCTGCTGCTTTCCCAGGAGTTCCCATTTTCATTTGTGCATTTGTTTACTACACCTCCGAAGTATAACACTTTCAACTTGTCTTTATTAAATTCGTACTGCTTTAATTGGGGCAATTTCCCCACTTCATCAAGATCAATTGCAATTCTGCTCCGGTCTTCTAGCCTGTTTCATAGTCTCCAAGCTTTATTATACGTGGCTTCATGCATGGATTCTTCATTTCATTAATCTGGGGCTGGGCAGGAAGGGCTCTGTCGTCAATTTAATCTAAAAAGCAGTGTGAGTTTCAGTGGGTGCCCATGAATACCATCCCTATCAGATAAGGCTATTTCCAGCAGAGCATTATATTAGCGATTTTTAGAGAGATGGTATTATCATCTTAGGAAATAAAAAGCCTTCTGCTTCTTTAGTCTTCATATGAGTTTCAATAATTTACAAATGTTGAGGGAAAATATTGCCTCCAGTCTAGGTGAAATAGGAAAAAAAATACAACCACTGAAGAAAAACTTGTGATTTTTTTTTTTTCTTTTAAGTCTAAACTTTCCAGCCTGTAATGAGCAAAGGGCTGTTTCTGTTCTTTTCCATCTGTCTTTTTTTATACTAATCCACTGCTGTAATATTTGAGGACTTACAGGCATCCTGCCCCTGCCTCATGGCAGATCTTTCTTTCTGCCTCTCTACAGGGTTCTCCCTTAGTTTCCAGAATTCCTTCACATTTCCACTTTCCCTCACATGCTGCCAGTTTCCACACTTCCCAGTTTTTTTTTTAACTCTAGAGCCCTGCTGGATTCCTTCCCAAGCCCAGAAAGGGTATCCGTCTTCTCCTGAATGGGCGATTTTCCAATAATTGGCTTGAGAACTGGGAAGAGAAAAGGATGGGGAATGTAGGAGGCCAAAGGTTTTGGACATCACAGAGGAAGGCTGGTATTCTTTTCACGACAAATTTCAGCACTGCCTACTTGTTTCTCAGATTTTCCCCTGATCTATTCCTTACGCCTGCTGTCTTCTAAACACAGCTGGTGGCCAGATGCTCTCCATTCTGGAAAAGAGCCAGCTTTCTAACGGCTAAGACTTTTTTTTTTTTTCCCAGCTAAAACTTTTTGCCTGCTTGGTCTCGGCTTCGGAGTAGATTTGTGCAAATGTCTATTAAAGACAGAGGAAACCTCTTTAAAGAGGTGTGAAGGCTTAGTAGCCAGGCTCCTGTTGGCACTAATGAGAGCTGCTGGCTGAATCCTCCACACGCTGCTTTTGACACTGAGCCTTTTTGTGCTGAATATCCACTGGCCACTGGCTTCATACCAAGCGTTGCAGAAGCCCTGGATGAGCTGCAGCGTGTGGTGTGCTGGGGGCTTTCGGAAATTCTCCTTTAGTTCCAGAGCGTAGCACAATGTGCTGCTCTTTGAAGATTAAAAGAGAAAGGGAAATCCTCAGTTTGTACTGAAATAAACTGCTCTGAGGTGGTGTGGTGAGTATAAAGAAAGGGCATCTCCTCTTCCCTCCC